CAAGCAGTAATGAAGTGTTACCAATTAAAATGGATGTCCCACTTAATTAGCTCAACTTTCATAAATACCCAGAGTGGTTTCGGGAACAAAAATTATGGGCAGCCTGCCTACTATACAAGGATATCGATTGGCGAATTTAATTTCAGCAACACAGCACGTTCAGCCGATAGGCGGGCCCTTGGGGGCGATTTGGGCCCCGGAACATGCTCATCGTAATCGATGCCCAAGTTATGGCCTCCTTGCTCTTTTATTATGATTTGTAGGTACGTACTCTATCCTGCTGATGCTGTGTAATAAGATTTTTTTATTATATTGTCAGAGGGCCAGCTGCCATCTTTGATGCCATTTCGTTAAGTTCTGTTAATCTCAGATACGCTTCGAACATAAAAAAAAATAACTAACGAAATCTATCTATGAAATTAAGAAGTAAAATTAAGATACCACTTGCTTTGAAGGCAGCCTACAAAGTAAATTAAAAACATATTTCACTAACAATGAAAGTGCACACAATAACCGCTATTAAAAATTGGTCGTAATCACACTAAAAGTTACCGAAAACAAATTAAAACTGTCAACACTAAAAACTAGTTAAAATTTTGGCCAAAGCGTAAATAACAAATGGAGTGCCAAGGCACTAGCACTATGTTAGCGCCATGCAAATGCATGACATTCGACCAAACATGCAGCATGACACCCTGCCAATTCGTATGGAGACTAAACACTGAATATTAATCCATTTCATGCTATATTCTGACTTTGTTCATTATTCCGCGGTGCACTGTGAGTTTTTAATTTAAATGTATGAAGTTTTCTGATGGCCCCATCATTGACTGCAGCGGCCGAATGGTCATTTACAGAATGAGCTGAGGATTTGATATCGGGGTCGTATGACATTGTGTTTTTTCCGATTTGGTCAGCTCTTTATGACATAATACCCAGAATTAAACCAAGTATTTAGCAAAATTTGCTCATTAGATCATCTTTGTCAATGACATTATCTAGTGTTTTTCAACATTATCAACCTTCAATGTTTAAGCTTTAAGCAGAGTATACTAAAACATTGACGTATTCATGTAACCTTTTTTTTTGAGGGAGGAAAATCATCAGGTCACAGAAAATTAGGAGGGTTTTGCTGCTAGTTTTTGTGGTTTGTCAAACTTTTAGGACACATAGGGACAGGGAATAAAATTCACCTCAGCATGACTCGGAATATTGAGATATATATTTTTAATTATGTACTTTATTTGTGTAGTTAAAACGTCAAGAATACTAAATTATCACGTAAACGGTAGTTAGTGACTCCTGTAAACTTTTCAGCTATTGAGAGCAGTCCAATGAAGGTACAAAGAGCACCAATCCGTTCTACCTTGAACCATCTACAGTAATCAAGAATACAATGTTGCTGAAAAACCAGCATTGTAGAAAAATCAACCGTGTTGTGCTTATGATAAGGTTGTGAGTTCTTTATGCTAGTTTCTTGAAACTGTAGAATCTAAGTTTGTTGCCGATTTGTAAAGCCGTGTGCATGGTTGAAGTCATTAAATAAGTTAATTTAAGTACATATACTAGGTATGTTTTTTTGCAAATAAAAAGTAACTATACCAACATATTATTCAATGTGTCTAACCGCCAAGCGATTGACATGTAAGAAACCCGCGATTCAGAGAACAAGTGTTCCAACATTCGTTCATAGATGGTGCTTTTTATTTGAGATCGTTTTCTGAATCGCGGTGTTAAGATTCTCCGCCAATAGTATAAGTGTCGAAAGAATTAATTTTATGTTGATATCATTTTGACACGTGCTATTGTATCGTAATTTTTATTGTACAATAATTCAGAATACAAGTGTTCGGTAACCACGACCAAGTACTTTTATAATTTATTCAAATCAACCCCCAGCTTAACCCTCACGATACCCAGGGTTATCCAATGGACAATAGGTTAGATGCCTAATTTTTATTTTAATGTCGATCTTGTAGATTATTTAAAATCATTAGACACGTATTTTTTATTTTCTTACAGAAACAAATACTTTCGACGATATATTGGTTTGAAATGTCGCGTGACGTCACTTCTATGTACATTTTATACGTAGAAATGACGTTTAAGCCCCCTCTTCTAAACTTTGATTCGTTTTATCTAAGTATTGTTATATTATACTACAAAATAAAAAAAATATGTGTTTAATATTTTTTTCATTACCTAACTGACGGACTAATTAGATGTTTAATTTTCATACACTGTCATTATCCCAATAGATAATTAATAATTCTAATAGATAATTGTAAAAAAAAAGTTTTACAATTATCTATTACAAAGAAAAATTATTACACCGGTAAATCATCAACAATAAAATATTAATGTTAGTAAATATTATGTTAATAAACAACGATCGCAATAAAAATGCTTTAAAATGGCTCTTTACACAATACTATCTGAGGATATAGAACAAAATTCATTTGTAACACACAGTTCCAAAATAATGCTCCCAAAATCCACCCCCGAAAGAGTTTTAAAGATAAGGAATTTACATATCAAGAATAGACATCGTATCTGCAAGCTCCCTAACCGATCGGTTCGATGTGGTTGTGTAAAAACTGCTATAAAACTCAACGAGGCTCTAACTCCTCAACTTGTGGAGTAATAAAGTTAAACCAAAAGAGTTTGATGCCAAGAATTTACTTATAATATATTCGTACTAGAATCTTAAATCGTAAGATTGAGTTTTACAAAAATAAGTTTTATGTTTTTGCATATTACTCGAATTAAATCATGGTTGTGATTTGTAAAAATATTGTAATTATATTAAAAAAAAAATATTGAGCGATAAAATCTTTTTTCTAACTATACCTTCTTCTTTTGTTTACATAACATAACATAACATAACATCACGCCTTTTTATCCCCGAAGGGGTAGGCAGAGGTGCACATTACGGCACTTAATGCCACTGTACAATG